TGTTGAATAGGAGTGATGAGAGAGAGCATCCTTGTCTTGTGCTGGTTTTAAGGGGAATGCTTCGGGCTTTTGCCCATTCAGTGTGTTATTGACTATGGGTTTGTCATAAATAGCTCTTACTCTTTTGAGATACATTCCATCAATATCTAGTTTGTTGAAAGTTTTTATTATGAAGAGGTGTTGAATTTTATCAAAGGCCTTTTCTGCATCTATTGAGATAAACGTGGTTTTTGTCATTGGTTCTGTTTTTGCAATGGATTACATTTATTGATTTGCATATGTTGAACTAGCATTGTGTCCCATGGATGAAGCCAACTTGATTGTGGTGGATAAACTTCTTGTGCTGTTGGATTCTGTTTGCCAGTATTTTATTGAGGGTTTTCGCATTGATGTTCATCAGGGATATTGGCCTGATCTTTTCTTTTTCTGTTCTGTCTCTGCCAGGTTTTGGTATCAGGATGCTGGTCCTCATAAAATGAGTTGAGGAGTTCTTCTTTTTCTGTTGTTTGGAATAGTTCTAGAAAAAAATGGCACCAGCTCCTCTTTGTGCCTCTGGTAGAATTTGGCTGTGAATTTGTCTGGCCCTGGGCTTTTTTTGGTTGACAGACTATTAATTACTACTTCAATTTCAGAACTTGTTATTAGTCCATTGAGGGATTTGACTTCTTCCTGGTTTAGTTTTGGGAGGGTGTATGTGTCCAGGAACTTATCCATTTCTTCTAGATTTTTCTAGTTTATTAGTATTGAAGTGTTTATAGTATTCTCTGATGATAGTTTGTATTTCTGTGGGGTGGGATCAGTGCTGATATCCTCTTTGTTGTTTTTTATTGTGTCTATTTGATTCTTTTTTATTAGTCTTGCTAGTGGTGTATCTGTTTTGTTAATCTTTTCAAAAAACCAGTTTCTGGATTCATTGATTTTTTTGAAAGTTTTTCTGTCTCTCTATCTCCTTCAGCTCTGCTCTGATCTTAGCTATTTCTTGTCTTCTGTTAGCTTTTGAATTTGTTTGCTCTTGCTTCTCTAGTTCTTTTCATTGTGATGTTAGGGTGTCAATTTTAGATCTTTCCCACTTTCTCCTGTGGGCATTTAGTGCTATAAATGTCCTTATAAACACTGCTTTAGCTGTGTCCCAGAGATTCCAGTAGGTTGTGTCTTTTTTCTCATTGGTTTCAAATAACTTATTTATTTCTGACTTAACTTCATTATTTATCCAGTAGTCACTCAGGAGCAGGTTGTTCAGTTTCCATGTATTTGTACGGTTTTCAGTGAGTTTCTTAATCCTGAGTTCTAATTTCACTACACTGTAGTCTGAGAGACTGTTTGCTATGATTTCCAGTTCTTTTGCATTTGCTGAAGAGTGTTTTACTTCCAATTATGTGGTCAATTTTAGACTAAGTGTGATGTGGTGCTGAGAAGAATGTATATTCTGATGATTTCGGGTGGAGAGTTCTGTAGATGTCTATTAGGTCCACTTGGACCAGAGCTGAGTTCAAGTCCTGAATATCCTTGTTAATTTTCTGTCTCATTGATCTAATAATGACAGTGGTGTGTTAAAGTCTGCCACTACTATTCTTTGGGAGTCTAAGTCTCTTTGTAGGTCTCTAAGAACTTGCTTAATGCATCTGGATGCTCCTGTATTGGGTGCATATATATTTAGGATAGTTAGCTCTTCTTGTTGCATTGATCCCTTTACCATTATGTAATGCCCTTCTTTGTCCTTTTTGATCTTTGTTGGTTTAAAGTCTGTTTTATCAGGGACTAGGATTGAAAACCTTGCTTTTTTTTTTTATTTTGCTTTCCATTTGCTTGGTAAGTATTCCTCCATCCCTTTATTTTGAGCCCATGTGTGTCTTTGAACGTGAGATGTGTCTCCTGAATAAGTACACTGATGGGTCTTGACTCTTTATCCAATTTGCCAGTCTGTGTCTTTTGATTGGGGCATTTATCCCATTTACATTTAAGGTTAATATTGTTATGTGCGAATTTGATCCTCTCATTATGTTGCTAGCTGGTTATTTTGCCCGTTAGTTGATGCAGTTTCTTCATGTGTCAATGGTCTTTACAATATGGTATGTTTTTCTAGTGGCTGGTACTGTTTTTTCCCTTTCCATATTTAGTACCTTCTTCAGGAGCTCTTATGTGGCAGGTCTGATGATGACAAAATCTCTCAGCATTTGCTTGTCTGTAAAGGATTTTATTTCTCCTTTGCTTAGGAAGCTTAGTTTGGCTGGATATGAATTTTCTTTAAGGATGTTGAATATTGGCCACTCTCTTCTGACTTACAGGGTTTCTGCAGAGAGATCCACTGTTAGTCTAATGGGCTTCCCATTGTGTGTAACCTGACCTTTCTCTCTAGCTGCCCTTAACATTTTTCCTTCAATTCAACCTTGGTGAATCTTGACGATTATGTGTCTTGGGGTTGCTCTTCTCAAGGATTATGTTTGTGGTGGTCTCTGTATTTCCTGTTTTGAATGTTGGCCCATCCTGCTAGGTTGGGGAAGTTCTCCTGGATAATACCCTGAAGAGTGTTTTCCAACTTGGTTCCATTCTCCCCGTCACTTTCAGGTACACCAATCAAATGTAGGTTTGGTCTTTTCACATAGTGCTATATTTCTTGGAGGCTTTGTTCTTTTCTTTTCATTCTTTTTTCTCTAATCTTTTCTTCATGCTTTATTTCATTAAGTTGATCTTCAATCCCTGATATCCTTTCTTCCTCTTGATCAGTTAGGTTATTGATACTTGTGTATAATTCATGAAGCTCTTATGCTGTGTTTTTCAGCTCTATAAGGTCATTTATGTTCTTCCCTAAACTGGTTATTCTAGTTGGCAATTTCTCTAACCTTTTTTCAAGTTTCTTAGCTTCCTTGCATTGGGTTAGCACTTTAGATTAGAAGAATTTGTTTTTACCCACTCTCTGAAGCCTACTTTAGCTCAGAAGAATTTGTTGTCACCCTCCTTTAGCTCAGTTGTTAGCTTTGTTATTACCCACCCTCTGAAGCCTACTTCTGTCAATTCATCAAACTCATTCTCTGTCCAGTTTTGTTCTCTTGCTGGTGAGGAGTTGTAATCATTTGGAGGAGAAAAGGCATTCTGGTTTTTGGAATTCTCAGCCTTTTTGTGCTGATTTTTCCTCATCTTCATGGATTTATCTACCTTTTGTCTGTCTCCACTGAGCTAGACCACTTGGCTCCCTGGCTTCAGCCTCCCTTTCCAGGGGTCTGGCTGGCATTTCAGGTGCCACTGGGGTATCAAAAAAAAAAAAAAGACGCCTGCACCTAGCTTGATGTCTGCCCCCATGGCTGCCCATTTTTGTGCTTGAAATCCAGGGCCCTGGTTGCATAGGCACCCGAGGGAATCTCCTGGTCTGCAGGTTGTCAAGACCATGGGAAAAAAGTAGTATCTGGGCTGGAGTGCACTGTTCCTCACAGTCCAGCCCTTCTTGGCTTCCCTTTGCTAAGGGAGGGAGTTCCCCGACCCTTTGCGCTTCCCAGGTGAGGTGACATCCCACCCTGCTACTGCTCGCCCTCAGTGGGCTGTACACACCGTCAAACAGTCCCAATGAGATAAGCTGAGTACCTCAGTTGGAAATGTTGAAATCACCTGCCTTCTGTGTTGATCTTGCTGGGAGCTACAGACTGGAACTGTTTCTATTTGGCCATCTTATGAGCCACTCGCCCATAATTTTGATCTTCTTTCTGAGGAGAACTGGCATCTGACATCCCGAGTTAGCCATCTTGGCAAAAAAAAAAAAAGCAACAAAAAAGTGATGCTCCCTTCATGAGAACCGATGGTTAAAATCTCCTTAGACCACTAAGCCAGGAAAGGCCTACTTGTGAGCAAATGGGCTGTTTTCTATCTTTTAGAATCACTGTTATCCTGACCATATGTGGGTGTTTGTACTTCTGTTATTTTTTCAACATATTACTTATTTTTCCAACATTTTATTCTGTCAAATTTTAAGCATAGAAAAGTTGAAAGAATTTTACGGTTAACATCTACCTGTTATCTATATTCTACGCTTAACATTTTATTATACCTCCTTTATCATGTATCTTCCCATGTATCTATATATCTATCAAAGATAGTTATTTTAAAGTCCATACATGATAACTTCAATATCTGGAGCCTTTTTTAAAATTTGTATTTTCTGTTGTTTGGCTTTCATTCAGACTGTCTTGTTTCCTCATGTGCCTGGTGACTTTTTATTGTGTACCTGACATCATATTTGCCAAGGTTTAGAAAACATTTGAGACATGGAATGATATTAACTTCTTCCATAAAAGATTTACTTTTTCTGCCAAATACCTGTGGGCCTTAACAATCTGTGACTCACCTCATTTCAGTTTCAGGGACTGAAACAATTTAAAACTCTGAAGGTCTGTCTACTTCTGCTTTACCTTTCCTTCTAGAGCATCTCCTTCTTGGTCTGAAGCCAAAATGAGGAGTCTTTATGAGTCCTCCTTTTCCTTCAGTATAGTTTAGTCTGTCCCTCACCTAGTGCTGTCAGAAACTCTGCTTAGCCTCTCAGCTGCCCCTTTCAGAATTATTAAATGCTCCATGAGTATGAGCATCCTCAGAATAAGCACAGCTCAACTTTCTGAGTGAGGCCACCAAATCCTAGACCACCTTCATTGAAAAAATGGAATTATTTTATTTAAATAGAGTTTATCCCATATACATTTAGTTAAAATGACAGATATTTTTGCTTCTGTACTAATACCGTATTTTATGTTATACTTTCTGTGTTTATTGATTTTTAAAAATTTTACTGCATGGTACATTTTCTTTGATTTTTGTTGGTATTTTGTTCTTCGGTTCTGATAATTAGGAAGTCTTGTATTTTCTTTTTAGCTATAAAGTCTTTGTAGCTGTAAAGTTATATAATAATTTTTTGAGGATTATCAATTTCCTTATCTTTAAGTTGGAATAATAACCTATTTTACTGAGTTGTGAGAATCAATTAAAATCATCACACACTAAACATTTATTTGTCATACTGCTTGGTATATGGTAAACCTATAAATGTTGGGTTTAGAGATTATATATTACATATGAATGAATGAAAACATCATAAAGCAGAGAGAAAAGAATACTGAAAAGAGAAGGGGAGAGTAAACCATCCCCTGTTATTGGTGGGGTTCTCTCAGGCCCAGTGTACTGGTTTCTTTGGTAGCATCTTCATGCTCCATGCCATTTACTCAGTAGCCATATCTAGGGTCCTGGCTTGGTCTTTACAGCAGATCTACCATGAAATAATTGGAGAAACTTGAGGCTGAGAGTTTTTCTAAAATGTCTTTGTCAGGATAATTTACTAACATTTTGTTGTTGTTTCTGTTATCCCCAGAAGCTGTTATATTCTGATTCTGGGATTCCTAGCTTCAAGGTATTATAAACTGCCTTTATATGGCAGGCCTGAAAAATAACATGGATGAAAATAGAAGTTTCTTGTTATCTGAAATAAAACCCCATCAATCATGTTATTGTTTTGGGATTAGAGATGTCCGAGGAGGGAGGCAATGGGAGCATGAAGGTGAGGGGTTTTCTGGGGAGTACAGAGGAAACAGAACTGGCAGGAGTAGAAATAGCTTTCAGAGATTTTAGGGAGTACTAATCTAGGTGATGGCTATATGAATGGTTGGAACGTGTCCCCTTGCCTTTTAATAAAGTCTTTGGATGGGGAGTTGAGGTGGTTCATGTTAATACTGTGGACAGTAAACATTTGTAACTGTCATGAAAGCTGACTTAAAAGATCCCTGGTACAGAAGAATGGTGTGGTTATTCTTTGAATGGACTGGTGGGCTTAGGCAATTAACATCTCATGTGTGATCATGATGGTCTAAGGATCATTAGAGATTTAGTTTGTTTTCAGGGCACCATCCTGCTTCCCCATTCTGGTGGAGGCCATTGAGGAGGAGACGGTAGTCATCCAAAAGTGAATAGGAATGTCTTGATACTTCTGGCTGGTGAGGGCAGAGCCAGATTTTTTTTTTCTTCCCCGAGTAGAACATACCCATTTAATGTGAGCTGTCTTGCTCTTGAATGTTGTGAAACAAATTTATACTTTTTTTGTCCCCCACCCCCACCAAACAGATTGTTATCATCCAAGTGTGCTTTTTCTCAACTTAGTTCAAATTTAAAAAGAAAAGATGTGGAAGGTAAATTTGGAAAAGCACTTTTATCCCTTGACTTTCTTAGTTAGCAGCTGTAACTATCTTTAGGAAACTTCAAAAGGATACATGGGAACAAAGGAGAAAAGCCAAGACTGCTGTTCTGTGATGCAGTAGACAAGGAGGAAGAGTGAAACCTTGGTAGAAGCAATAGGTGGTAGCAATTGGAGGGGAATCAGAACAATCCCAGGGCTGTTGGAAGAAAAGAATAATGGTGTACAGGCTAGACCAAGGAGTGAGGCCTGAGGTGTACCCTGGCAGGAGACTTTTGTCGATTCCTAACTTCCGAGACCCCATCCCACACTTTCACCTCTCAGACCCAGTCTCTGTCTTCATCAGCCCTTAAATAAATCTTCCACTCTGCCGGAGCCCTGGCTCCAGATGATAGTGGCCAACACTGGTGGCTTATACTTAGGGCAAGGAATTCCAACTCATGTTGCCCAGTAGCAGGAGAAGTCTGCAAGAGGAAGTGAGAATGATGTTACTGAAAGTTGTGCCACAGGCATAAAAGGTTGGAATTCTTAATGAATTGTCTCAGAGACATTATTATACATCATTCCATAGTATTACTTAGCACAGGTGCATTTTGTTCCTGTTAAACTATTAGCACAACCATATGTTAGATTAAATAGGTTTTTAACCTTTTAAATAGCCTTTCTTAAGAACCTAACCAGTGGGTATAACATTGTTTCTGTGGGTAAAATGCTTTTAAAATCCCACAGTGGACTGACAAAAGACCCATTGAATACAATCTGTTTGTAAATTGGATTGGTCTGGCTAGGGTAAGGAGGCCCACCCTGCTCTTTAGCTTTAATGCCTATGCCTGTTCAAAGAAGGCAAAGTCTTTTATAGTGACAGACAAGCCACACTGAGTTTGAATAAACATAAAGATTGGCTCCTTGCAGGAGAGCCTGTTTTTTTTTTTTTGGAGCTTGTCCGATTTAAGACAGGTCATATTTAATGAAATGTGGCATTAAATGGGTCTGCTTTAAATGAGGCAGTTTGTGTAAAGTTCTATTATCAGACCATCTGTGTTTACTTTTGTGTGAAAGCAAAAGTTTCAATCTTATTTTGGATCAAAAATTGCTCACTGTGATAAGGGTTGTGAAAAATAAAAAGTAAATAAAAATGAGGGTTTTATTTTTCATTGGTTGCCATTTTCAATGGAGAATAAATTAAGCATATAGAGTCAAATGAAAGGTAAAGAGGAGGTGGTTGACAGCTTAGTCATGTTTTATGTAACACTTGTTTTTCTTTTACATGAACACATTATACCATCCATCAGGATAAATTAATATGTCGTGGGCCTTTAAAAACTGTAAAAAAATAATTTTAATGGTTCCAATAATAACTCCAGATGAATGCTGGAAAACAGATATTCCAAACTGTCAAATAGCATATGTATTGCTTGGCTCTGTTATAACTGCAAGTAAAAGCTGTTTTTGTATGAGGTTTCCTTGACTGCCAGTGGAAGAACTGTAACACATTTATTGTGAACAAAATTGGAATGGAAATGAGACATGTTACAACAGAATGACACCTAATTCCTTCTTGCCAGTTGGCCTGAATTAAAATAATAAATCATAAGGACAGTAAAAGGTTCTTGGTTAAAAGAAAGAATAATTTAATTAAAATAGATTTATAAAAATGGCAGGTTCATACATCTATCACTTATGATACGGAGACTTTATTTAAAAATATGGTTGTCTTATTAAGTGAGAAAATAGAATTGTACCCTATATAAATGTATACATTCAATGGAAAAAAAATCATAAACTTCAGAGGAGAATTTAACAGCGGTATGGAAAGCAACTGAAAAGTGTTTGCAACAAAGGCCAGTTCTAACTGCTGTTTACTGCAGGTAAGGGGCTTCAGGATGCTGCCCTATGTTTGAAGGGGTGACTCATGCCATTATTTATTACAGTTAATTGCTAATGTTTGTGAAGAGCACAGTATGTTGCAAAAGTAGGACCAAGTAATCCATGATGACCTTTTGTGCTATCAAAGCTTTATCAATTAGAAGCTCTTGATTATAAATTCATGGGATGCCCATTGAGTGCCATCAAAGAAAGATTATACGTGGCTTCTTATGCAATCTGATTTTTTTTTTGTTGGCTCCTCTTTCTTCAAAACTGAACCCTCTCCAGGGTACTATTTCTAAATCTGCAAAGTGAAGCATATTCAAAATGTTTGCAGACTTCAAGGAGTATTGTGGTTTTTATAAACCATGGCAGGAATTTTAGAAAAATAGGGTTATATTTTCCTGATAAATACCTTTTTTCTTGAGACTCCCACACTGGCTATCTTCCTGGTCACTTTTTTTCCCATCTCCTTTGTTCTGTTGATACTAGGCTTGCATGACATTTACAAAAACTGTTAAATACTTCAAAATTATAAAGTCCTTATTTTACCATAATTATCACTGTGAGTCAGTCTTAAAATATTTGTTCATTTTTATTCACCAATCCCTGACAAAAGGAACTTTGAGTTCTTACCTTCATGTTGCTATAGCCCTTGACAGTGTCTAATGCCTCACTTCTTGAAATTATCTTCTCTCCTGCCTTCTAAGACACTGTAATATCCTGGATTTTTTTCTATTTACTTTGTCATTTTTTTAAATTGACTCTTCCCTTTTGTTTTTTCTAATTTAGCCTTAACCAAGCCTGAAGCATCAGCCTTTTCTCTCCTCTGATCTCATTGCTAGCTCATCTACTGCCAACTGTTTGTAACTCTGGGTCCACATTTCCAACTGTTGTCAAACATCTCTATCATCTCCATCAAAATCATCCAAAATCAAATTCATGGTTTTCCCTTGCCCATATTCAGGATCCTAAATTACTGTCTTAATTACTCCCTTAAATCTCCTTGCTAGTTCTACTCTCATTATTAACACTCCTGACTTCTCACGTTAGCACTAAGTTGTAGTTCTGTTTTCTCCCACCTCTCACCATCATGGTCTACAAGACTGCATTTCTGCCATGGTTGCTGTTTATAATTGGATCAGGATCAGTGGAAGTCTATGGACTATGGTGTAGTTATTCTGGAATCTGTGGATCAGTGGGATAGTTATTCTGGTCTTAACTGGGCTCGTTTATGCATCTGTGGTTAGCTGTGGGTCTGGAAGATTGCCCTGCTGACCTTGGCTGGACTGTTCACATGTTTGAATATCTGCTGGCTGTAAGTTGGTATTTCGTCTTCAAAAAGACAGTCCAGATCTGTTGTCATGATGGAGACAGTGCTTAGTAGTTATAAGCCTCTTGGAACTCATCTGAACAGTAGTGGGAGTCCCAATGGTTCATTCAAGGGAATAGGAAATGGAGTGAGTGAAGTAGATGCAATATAAGAGGTGGTATAGAAGGCGGGACGGATCTTGAGAGGAAGAATCCAGCTGGGGACTAACTCTAGAGTGGCAGCTTCCAGGGAGGAAGCAGAGCAAGTCAGGAGTCCACATACAGAGGTGGCAGCTGAGATGAATTGAGTGTGCTGATGGCACAATTAACAGCCTCTTTGCACTCACAGCCGTTTCAGACTTTGCAGCTTTTTCCATTTGTGGTGGAGTCTATTCCCCTACTCCTTGAGTCTGGGCTTGTCTCATAACTTGTTTTGGCCAATAAGAAGTAAGCAAAGCCACAAGGTTTTGGCACTCCAATCTTGAAAGCCTCTGTGGCCTTCCCATTCTCTGTTCCCACTGACAGGAGAACTGGCTAAATGTTATCACTTCAGTAATGCCATCTCTAAATATCTAGAGTCATTTTACTGTTTTTCTTTTTTCTCTTTTCAGTTCTTTTTAAAAAATATGTTATCACAATTGATAATGTTTGTTTACTTTTATTTCTCTAAACTGTGAGCTCCATGATAGCTGTTATCCTAGTGACTATCACAGTGTCTGGCACAAATTAGGGACTCAATAAATATTTGTTGAATTAAATTTTATGAGACCTGATGAATGAGTTTTTAAGAAGCTTTTCAAGTTACTCAGATATGTGATCAAGTTGATGACCGCCATAGTATACTTGGTTTCTTTTAGCTACCTCACCGATTCATCTTCTGAATATTGTCTTGGTTGGGTGCAGTGGGTCACACCTGCAATCCTAGCTCTTTGGGAGGCTGAGCTCAGAGGATCACTTGAGGCCAGGAGTTTGAGACCAGCCTGGGTAACACAGCAAGACCCCATTTCTAGCGAGAGAAAAAAAAAAAAAAAACTGAGCGTGGTAGTGCACACCTGTAGTTTTAGCTACCTGCCAAGCTTAAAAGCTTAGGATCACTTGAGCCCAGGAGTTCCAGGCTGCAGTGAGCTATGATTGTGCTACTATACTCCTACCTGGGCAACACAGTGACACCTTGTCTCTAAAAAATAAGAAAAACATTTTCATAGCTTCTGTTCTGCTTCATGGCCTTTGTTTCAGCTTCATATCTCTATTATCTGCCTATTCCCTGTAGTATTTTGCAACTCGAATCTTTAATGAAAAGACTGACTGGTCTAACTTGCCTCCGTCTGAGTAGAATTTCCCACATTAGAACTGGGTGTAGTTAGATGGTCAGCCTGGGGATTAGGTGCTCTTGCTTCTCTCTAGCCCAATAATATGTAGCCACAAAGGAAGGAAGTAGAAATAATAGAACCATATGACCCAAAATATGGCAGCCCATCAGGCTGTGAGTGTGGCAGGTAATATGACTGGTTTGTCAAGTACAGAAAACTTAATTGTATCTCCATATTTTTACTAATTACAATCAATTGATTAAATATTGTTGAGTACTTTATGTGCCACATTGCCTTACATGTCTGGCACAGGAAATAATGTGGTAAGCACAGGCAGGAGCAGAACTCTGTGTGGCCCCACAGCAGCATCTAGAGGGGTACCCATGACCCTTGAATCCCCAGAGGGCGTGTGTTACAATGCTCTTTTTGGAAGAATCAGGATGCACAAATGAATTGGAGGGTGGTGAATGCAGAGGATTTTATTGTCAATGAAAGTGGTGTTCTGTGGGAAGAGGAGCTGGAAGGGGATGGAGTGGGAACATGGTCTTCCTCTGGAGTCTGACTGTCCTGGGCCAGGCTCTTCTCTGATGTCCCACTATCAAGCCGTCCCTCTGAAGTCAAGCTGCTTCTCTGACATCTGGCTGCTGCTTCTCTTCTTCTCTGCCATTCCTCTGCCTGTGAAGCCTGGGCTTTTTATGGGTACAGAATGGGAGACAGGGTGCGCTAGGGGGGTTTTGGAAAAGGCAACATTTGAGTGGAAAAATGGGGATGTTCTCACTTGGGGCCATGGTTCTAGGCCTGAGGGTGGGGCTTTGCCAGGGACCTCGCCCTTTTCTGCCTAGAATTTCTCTGCCTCCAGTCCCTATCAAAACTGTAGTTATAGAGAGCATATCAGTGGTTAATCTGAAGAGGATTGACTGGAAAAAAGTGCAACAGAACTTTTTGGTCTGATAGAAATGTTCTATATTTT